GATCTGGGGTGGTGGAGGGGGGGTTGTGGGGGTACTGTGTTCAGTAAACAATGGTATGATCTGGGGTGACGGGGGGGTTGTGGGGGTACTGTGTTCAGTGAACAATGATATGATCTGGGGTGATGGGAGGGGGGGTTGTGCGGGTACTGTGTTCAGTGAACAATGGTATGATGTGGGGTGGCGGGGGGGTTGTGGGGGTACTGTGTTCAGTGAACAATGGTATGATGTGGGGTGGCGGGGGGGTTGTGGGGGTACTGAGTTCAGTGAACAATGGTATGATCTGGGGTGGGGGGGGTTGTGGGGGTACTGTGTTCAGTGAACAATGATATGATCTGGGGTGATGGGAGGGGGGGTTGTGGGGGTACTGTGTTCAGTGAACAATGGTATGATGTGGGGTGGCGGGGGGGTTGTGGGGGTACTGTGTTCAGTGAACAATGGTATGATGTTGGGTGGCGGGGGGGGGTTGTGTGGGTACTGAGTTCAGTGAACAATGGTATGATCTGGGGTGGGGGGGGTTGTGGGGGTTCTGAGGTCAGTGAACAATGGTATGATCTGGGGTGGGGGTGGTTGTGGGGGTACTGAGTTCAGTGAACAATGGTATGATCTGGGGTGGGGGGGGTTGTGGGGGTACTGAGTTCAGTGAACAATGGTATGATCTGGGTGGGGGGGTTGTGGGGGTACTGAGTTCAGTGAACAATGGTATGATCTGGGGTGGGGGGGTTGTGGGGGTACTGAGGTCAGTGAACAATGGTATGATCTGGGGTGGGGGGGGTTGTGGGGGTACTGAGTTCAGTGAACAATGGTATGATCTGGGGTGGGGAGGTTGTGGGGGTACTGAGTTCAGTGAACAATGGTATGATCTGGGGTGGGGGGGGGTTGTGGGGGTACTGAGTTCAGTGAACAATGGTATGATCTGGGGTGGGGGGGGTTGTGGGGGTACTGTGTTCAGTGAACAATGGTATGATCTGGGGTGGGAGGGGGAGGGGTTGTGGGGGTACTGCTCAAACATATTTTATTACATGTACTTAATTAATGTGTATATTGCTGATAGCAAGGGGGTAATTGAGAATTGTTTTTAATTAGTATTGCTTGCACAGTTTTCCTTAGTTTTTGTATAAAGACATTTTACATGTATCAGGTGTGTGTAGTGTACTAAGTCACATATTATTGTAACTTGAAATAATTTGATTGATGTTGGGTACAATATTGTGTAATGTTGTTTTTTCACACACGTGTTATTATTATTATTATTATTATTATTATTATTTATTATTATTAAAGATTCGCCGGTATTCTCCCGGCCCGGGCCTTTTCCAAGTGGTGGCCCGGCCTTGGCTCCCTCTTTAGGGAGTGTCTGAGACCTAAGTCTCCCATGGGAGGAGGCACAAGTACCTCCTCATCTTTGGGACCAACTGTCCCTAGGCCTAGGCACAAGCTAGACCTCTCTGGTCTGCCATCCCCGCCCCAAGGGAGCTAATGGGAATGACAGTCTTGTGAGCTGAAAGCTCCGGCTCAGGCACCTACCCTACCCTAGAAGGGTTGGGCATGGTGTCGATGATCACACACGTGTTGGGGATTGTACTGAGTCATATGAAGAGGAAATTTTTAAAGGCAATGTAACACGAGCAGTATGTTTTGCTTATGAAAACATAATTGTTTTTGTATTATCTGACTCTGTATGCTTTTATTTATTTATTGTAACGTGTATTTTAAATAAAATAAAAAAAATAACATGAAAAACATCTAAAACAGTTAGCATCCTTTGAAAGATAGACTACTATGCACCACAAATAGCAAAACAGCACTACTCATACTATACTATTCACTGATCTACTCCTACCTCACCTATGATATTTATGTCTGGAGCTCCACAACGACAAATCACCTAACAAAAACCTACAGTGCAAATGATCACACAGTGCACGGCTAGACAACCCCCCCCCACCTCACACACACACACACACACTTTTCAGAGACCTAAACCTACTCACTAAATAAAACATCGACACGTACTACTGTGCAAACTACATTTACAGACCATACCCCCGGCCGGGATTGAACCCGCGGTCATAGAGTCTCAAAACTCCAGCCCGTCGCGTTACATTTACAGAACAATAAATTCCAGTATAAATCCTGACCTGAAGCGCTTTCTTGACAGTTGCAATAGGACCCATGGACACAGTAGTAGACAGAAAAATCTCTATGACATTCCCTGTGTCAGGTTAAATCTTTTCAAAAACTCAATGTATATAAAAGAACCCACAATCAAGAACTGGCTCAGCTAGCATTTTTAAAACTACAGTTAGAAAACACTATCTCCTTAACCTATCCCAGTCCATCATAAATAAATATGTCGAAAACCTATATGTGCATTTGGTCAATATCATGAACATAGGTAAATCATTATAATCAACATATGCTTACTCTCAACATATGTAATCATGTCATATGTAATATTATTATTATGTAATGTATAATATTAGCCTTAGTTTAATAACCAAAACCGTAATTCTTCTGTGCCAAGCTTGTTAAAGTCATATAGCATGAACTAAAAGAATATTCAGTTTTCTTATATTCATTGTAACTCACCTAATGATCATATGTACAATTTTGCACTGTTATTGCCTTATTAATCTGAAGTTAGTCTTAAGTTTGCCCGAAATGCTCTGCATATAAAGGGGTTTATGGCCTGTACACCCAATTGTTATAGTCCTTTGTTCAAACATGTATCATGCTAAAATAAAAATAATAATAAATAATAATAATAATATAAATAATAATAATAATAATAATAATAATAATAATAATAATAATAATAATAATAATAATATACACTATTACTATTATTATTATTATTATTATTATTATTATTATTATTATTATTATTATTGTTGTGATGCAAGTTTACTATTAATAAAATTATATTTATGTACATTTAGTTTTTGTATCTGTCCTTATAATAAATATAACTAATGACCATTTACTTAATGTTATTTTGTTGATATTCTTTTATTTTAACATTTTAAACGCCACTAGACTAAGCAAGTTGTTAACCGCTGGGCACCAGTCTTCATATTCAGCATGGAAAAGGTGGTAGGTTACTGAAAGCAGTTAAGAGTCTTTACGAGGATAGTGAAGGTCAGCCTAGAGAATGTAAGAGAAAGGGAGATTATTTCCCTGTAAAAGTAGACCTTAAACAGGGATGTGTGATGTCACAATGGTTGTTCAATTTAAAATTCTGGTTGTAAGAGAAGTGAATTCTTGGGTGTTGGTAAGTGGTGCGGGGTTAAGAGATACTGAATCTAACAAAAAGTGGGATATGTCAGAGTTGCTTTTTGGTGATGAGACCGTGTTGTCTGGAAATTATGAATAATAGTTGCAGAGGTTGGTGGAAGAGTTTGGAAGGGTATTTAAAGGAAGGAAATTAAAAGTGATTATAGGGAAGAGCAAGGTGATGAAAATAACAAAAAATACAGGTAACGAATGATTGGATATCAGATTGGAGGGAGAGAATATGGAGGAAGTGAATATATTCAGGTATTTGAGAATGGACGTGTCAGCAGATGGGTCTATGAAAGGCTATGTAAATCACAGAACTGATGAGGGGAAAACGACGAATGGTACACTGAGGAGTCATTGGAAACAAAGAACGTTATCCATGGAAGCAAAAATGAGAGTATAGTGAGTATAGTGTATGAGAGTATAGTGGTACCAACGCTCTTATATAGGTGTGAAGCATGGGTGGTGAATTTTGCAACAAGAAGGCAGTAGGCAGTGGAGATATCATGTCTGAAGGCAATGTGTAGTGTGAACATAATGCAGAGAAACTATAGCTAGGAGATTAAGGGGTCTGGGGTATCTAAAAGTAATATGCATAGGCCTGAGGTGGTTCGGAAATTCAGAGAGGATGGAACAAAACAGAATCACATGGAGGGTATATAAATCTGTAGTGGACGGGAAGCAGGGTAGGGGTCGGCCTAGGAAAGTTTGCAGAAGGTGTAAAGGAGGTTTTGTGCGCTAGGGGTTTGGACTTCCAGTAAAAGGGCGTAAGCATGTTAGGAGCTATTGGAGGCAAATGGGTTTTAAGATTTGAAGTGCTGTTGGAGTATAAGCAAAGTAACATTTATGAATGGATTCAGAGAAACTGTCAAGCTGGACTTGAGTCCTGGATGTGGGACGTACAGTGCCTGAGCTCTGCAAGAGGGATGTTGATATGTTGCAGTTTTTAACTGCAGTGTAGGCCTGCCTCTGGCAAGGCAGTGATGAAGTGAATGATAATGAAAGTGTGTTTTTTTCTTTTTTGAGTCACCTTGCCTGGTTGGGAAACAGCCTGTGTTAAAATAATAATAATAATAATAATAACAATAATAATAATAATAATACAAAGAAGAAGAAAAAGAAGAAAAGAAGAAGAAGAAGAAGAAGAAGAAGAAAAGAAAAAGAAAAAGAAAAAGAAAAAGAAAAAGAAAAAGAAAAAGAAAAAGAAAAAGAACAAGAAGAAGAAGAAGAAGAAGAAGAAGAAGAAGAAGAAGAAAAGAAGAAGAATAAAAATAATATGCAGTGCTAACACTCTTCTAGTGTATTTTGAAAGGTAGCCAATGACCTCAATAACACAGTGATACCTTGGAAAGAGTGTAGTCACCAGACGCACTTTACCTTGGAAGATGGGTAGAGTCACCAGGTGATGCACAGTATCATGGAAAGTGGGTAGTCACCAGGTGACACACAATACCTTGGAAAGTGGGTAGAGTCACCAGGTGACACACTATACCTTGGAAAGTGGGTAAAGTTACCAGGTGACACACTATCCTTTGAAGATGAGTCGAGTCACCAGGTGACACACTATACCTTGGAAAGTGGATAAAGTTGCCAGGTGACACACTATACTTTGGAAGATGGGTAGAGTCATCGTGACACACTATACCTTGGAAGTTGGGTAGTCAGCATATGACACACTATTCATTGGAAGGTGAGTAGAGTCACCAGGTGACATACTATACCTTGGAACGTAGGTAAAGTCATCAGGTGAGAGAGTGCAGGCCAGGCTTGAATTAGTGAAGGTGGGAGCCATTTTGGAGGTGCTGCTGCAGCAGTGCCGCTTCTGCTTGACGTTAGGTGGTGCAACAAAGCCTCCTCACATGGATCAACACTTCCAGACACTCTGGAACAGTATAGTCATAGTCATAAACACTAGTGAGATACACTCTACAACCTCAAATAGTCTAGTGATTTTTTTCATAGAATCATACAGTCTAGCAATGCACGCAACATCATCATACCGTCTAGTGGGCACGATATAATATCATACACTCTTCACCATTATACAGTTTTGGAATATATTCATACAGTCTAGGAATACACATCAAAATGTCATACAGTTTATGAATACTCATTGAAATGTTATACATCCTGGTATCTTCAACATCACACCCTCTAGTGACACAATACAATCAGTATAGTGATACTCTCTACAACGTCATACAGTCCACTGATACACTCTACAACATCATACAGTTTAGTGATGGTCTACATCATTATATATACTAGAGGTAAACTCATTAACATTACACAATCTCATGATACACACTACACCATAACAGAGTCTAGGTATACATTCGTCAACATAATGTGTTCTAGGAATGCCCTATACAACATGATGCAGGCAATTGATCACATACTGTCTACTGATATATTCTACAACATTACGTCTAGGTATATACTCAAGAACATAATACAGTCTAATAATAAACACCTTATCATCATTTAGTCGAGATATACACTATACAACAGCACACTGTCTAGGCATACACTCAACATCGCGGAGTCCAGCAATACACTACAGTATTAAACAGTCAAGGAATACACTCTACATAAAACATTCCATCTTGTAATACTCTAGTAACACTCACACTCAGCAACATCAAACAGTTTTGGTATACACTCTGCGACTTAATAAAGTTTAGCGATACACTCTGATACGCAAAACATTGCCGATATCCACACATTTTCAGATATAGCTTTGTCCTCAGCTAAGTTTGAAAAAGCTATCGACTGTATGCCCATGCATCAGCCCCAGGCCCAGACTCGTCGAACTCATTATTCAGGCCTTACTCAGGTCCTCAGTATTCTACGGAGAAGAAGCCTGGACACAAATGTCATCCAACAGTTACTAAAAACTTACGATATTTCCCCATTTGTGAAAAGTGGTATTAGAGCAATTACGAAAAGCTTCAGACCAATAGTGCTAACTTCACACATTATCAAAATCTTTGAACTGGTTCTAAGAAGCAAGAATGACAGTAACAATTGCAGAAACCAGGACAATAGATTTAGGGCATGTCACTCCTGCCTTTCATAGTTGCTAGATTATTCATTACTGCATGGTCTTGGATGCATTGGAGGTCAAGTTATATGTTGCAATGTACAGTGAATTTGCAAAATCCTTCAAGTATGACCATGGTGTGATAGCACACAAAATGCTTGCAAAAGAAATAACTAGTAAAGTTAGAAGATGGATATTTAATCTCTTAACAAATAGAACCCAGAGAGTAGTGGTAAACAGTGCTAAGTTCGAGGCTACCACATTGAAAAGTTCTAATCCTCAAAGAACAGTACTCGCCTCAATTTATCTCTCATCATTACTGTATATCAGACATAGACATAAACCATAGTACCGTAACACGCTTGCTGATCACACCATAATTTCTATGAGAGTTACATCCTCGAAGATACAGAGAATCTTCAAGTGGATATAACTCGTCTTCCAGTGGTCCTGAGACAACAATATGATGTTCAGTGAAGACAAGACTCATGTTCTCTGCAATAGAAGAATGGAGAAAATAAAAACTGGACAGGACCAATTCATACCATTCAAATGAGCGAAAGTTCCATGCGCGAGACTTGGGAGTGATGATGTCAGATGATCTAACATTCAAGGACCATAATAGTGCTATTGTTACCGCAACAAAAATGATAAACCGGTCAACTAGAACTTTCACGCCAGATGATGATGAGCCACTGATGAGATATTTCAAGTCACTTTTTATCTCAAGGTTTTAATACCGGTGTAGGCTAACAATCCTCCCCCTCCCCACTTGGCAGGAGAGATAGCAAGTCGGGAACAGGGACTTTCGTGAACAACGCCGTATAATAAAAAATACCATTATGTAGCTGATTGCAAGTTTGACTTTGAGGGGAATTACTATGCCCCAAAACTTGGAATGGCTAAGGGTAATCCGTTGTTCCCCTTATTAAGCAATCTGTATTTGGAATTTTTTGAGGCTAGACTGTTGAAAGATATCCGGCCATGTAGAGCTAAATGGTTCAGATATATTGATGACATCTTGTGTCTTTGGCCAAATGATATGGCGCTGGATACATTTTTACCAAGACTTAATGCTGTAGTCCCGTCTATTAAATTCACCATGGAAAAAGAGGAGGACTGTAAACTCCCATTCTTAGATGTGTTGATGCAATGGGTTAATAGAAAGTTTAAGTTTACAGTATATAGGAAGGCCACCAATGTGTGTTCATACATTCAGTATTATTGACTAAAGTCAAAAGGAGTGTATTGAGAGCCTATAGAGTGTGCAGTCCAGAGTTCCAAGATGACGAACTAGGAAAATATTTGACATTGGCACGAAACTGCGATATCCTAAAGTGTTTATGGAATCTACCTTGCTGGCAGCTAAGAAAATTTATTATCGAACAGAACCTAGAATAATATCTCAGACCAAGAATGTGCTGATCCTCCCATATAACCAGAATTTATCTATCCTGCCGAAGGCTCTAAGGAGATTTAATATACAAGTAGTATTTAAAAATTCAGGGACTGTTGGAAGCATCCTGATAAAGAATGTACCCCAACAACATGTTGGTGGTGTCTACAGAGTTGGTTGCAAAGGTTGCAATCTCTCCTATTTGGGACAGATTAGAAAATCATTGGAGTTGAGAATGTCCAAGCACCGTTATTCGACACATATAGCACAGGAGTCGAACGGGATTTGAAACCATATTAGAGCTTGTTATAACCCAGCAAATTGGCATGAAGCAAGTCGTCTTCCATTGTTCCTTCTGGCTTGAAAAGATTATTGTAGAATCAGCAATTATTAAGCATGATAATGATAGTCAGTAATTGTACAATATCAGTGATGGGCTGTTCAAATTAGATGCATTTTTAGTTGAGGCAATAGTACACAGTTTAAAATTGGGCACTTACACAAATGCATCAGACTGTCTTAAATGTATCGTCACACCGAGGAATTAGGGCCTATATTTTTGTTTTCCTACAGTTTCTGAAGGTTGAACCAGATTTTGCCTCAGAATTATGTGAGATGAATATTTTTGGTTGGGTTTCCTGTTATGACAGATGTCTCCCCCCTTTAATGAGCCTCATTTCCTTTACATAACTTTTTAGAAGTCTCCCTTCCATAAGGTACCATTTTTCTTCTCTTGTAATTTAAAGGGACACATTGTCCCAGAAGAGGAGGATATAAGTGCCAGTGATTTCTATATCACTGACAATATATTTATATGCTTATAGTTATAGATGTCATTGCAGAATATGACCGAATTTTTTATAATAGACACTTTAATTTCGTTTCGTTTAGGCTATTACAATATCAATGCTTGTGGGATTTTTTTCTAATACTGTAATATTCATCTCTCTGGTTATGGTACTGTTGGTGCCTAGTCACTTCCAGTACCCTCTCCTTTCTCCCTCTCTCACTCCAGTAAAGACGGTCCTCAGGGAACGCTATTTGCTGGACACCCTCCTCTTTCCTGCAATTTTGCGAGCTCCTGATGATGTGTTGATTGCAACATGAAAGGGTTAGAGTTATCATTCTACTCCCCCTGTGGTTGTTTTGCATCCTGTATCGCTTGGTTTGCGATATTATATATATACTATATAGTATATATATATATATATATTATATATATATATAGATGTATTTATATATATATATATTATTATATTATATATTAGTGAAAATTTCCACTGGGGGAGGAACTTCCGGTTTGGGGCTTCCACTGGGACGAGGGAACTTACGGTTTGGGGCCTTCCACTGGGCGAGAATTCCGTTTGGGCTTCCACTGAGCGAGGTATCGGTCTAGGACCGCAGCTGGAGGGTCACCTTTTCACACCTAGGTGTTACTTCCGGTTTTGACCATGACCTCGCCCTCGGGTGAACTACCTCACCCTTGACCCCCCCGCCCACGACACCCCCCCTTCGCGACCCCGACGTTTCAGAGTCGAGCGCCGCCCGCGCGCCGCCCGCGCCCTTCGCGAACCCCGCCCCGTGCGCCCCGCGCGCCCCGACCGCGCCTTCGCGACCCCCCAGAGCGCGCCCGCCGCGCGCCGCCGCGCCTTCGCGACCCCAGCCGAGCCTTCTGCTGCTCCTTTGCAGCGTCATTTCGGTTCGCCCCCCCGCGGCTCGAATTTTTTTTCCGATTTTTTTCGAATTTTTTTTGAATTTCATTTTTCTTGTGCTCTCCATCTCTGGATCAAGTTTTAGGTTCCCCTCTCACTTTCACCCCCATCCCAAAATTTCTCGATATTACCATGACTCCATCTCCTCGGATCAAGTATTTTGGATTCCCCCCTATGGGGTTTTCGAAATTCTCCAATTCCTCGGATCAAGTTTTTTGGGTACCCCTCCTTTCTCCCCCATCCCCCAAACAATTTCTCAATATCAAAGTCTCCCTTCCTCGGATCCCCCCCCCACTTTCCCCCCCCAACCCAAAAATTTCTCGATAATACAAGTTTTTTGGATCCCCCCTATGGGGGTTTCAAAATTCTCCATCTCCTTGGATCAAGGTTTTTGGATTCCCCCCCAAGGGTTTCAAATTCTCCAATTCCTCGGATCAGTTTTTTTGGGTACCCTTTTTTTCCCCCCCACCCCAAAAAACAATTTCTAAAAATTCAAAGTCTCCACTTCCCGGCCCCCCTCCACTTTCACCCCCCAACCAAAAAAAAATTTCTCATAATACAATTTTTTTGGATCCCCCCTAGGGGGGGTTTCAAAATTCTCCATCCCCTTGGATAAAGGTTTTTGGTTTCCCCCCCCCTATAGGGTTTTCGAAATTTCCATCCCCCTCGGATCAAAAGTTTTTTTGTTCCCCCTTGGGGTTTTCAAAATTTCCCCATCCCCTTGGTAAAGT